GTTCCTTCTCTCACTGTGTGTCTCTCTCTCTGTCAAATAAATAAATAAAATATTTAAAAAATAAAATAAAAGCTCTTGACCTGAACACTTGGAAATAATGAATTTAAAAAAAATTAAAAAAAAAATAGATGTTTAGTTCTTGCAGAGACCATGTCTTATGCTTCTTTTGAGTGCCTGTAACTTGTGCAATGAACTTCTAGGGGTTGCTCAACAACCTCTTATTGATAACTTGATTTGGAATTTTCAGTTCTACTCCAGTTAGAGTCCTGACTAGAGACTTAGATTTTTGTAGCTTGAGAAATGGGGACAGGAGAAAGGGCTGAAGGTGGATTGGAGGCCATGGGATGGATTGTTGCCAGGAGGGCCAATAAAATGAGCAACAGGTCAAGATAAAGGCCAGGGGAACTGGGCAATGGTAAATGCCAGAAAAAGAGGATGGGCTCTTCCCCACTGGAGACCTTCTGGTCTTAACAGAGCAACCATTGGGTAGAGTTGCCCAGAGAAAGGGGCAGCCTACATAAGCCCAGGTTTTCATCTTTTGAGGAAGATGAACTGAATATTTGAAGGGAGGGGTCAGACTGTGATTAATTTATGATGATTGGTAGTTTTCTGGCAGGATTTGTCTAGGAAACATGAGAGTCGAATGCGGTCCCACAGTCCTGCCCTCCATGGGGCCCAGTAGCAAGATGGAGCTTCGGTAAAGGAAGCAGTGGTTGGGCCCACAGGAGGCAGAGAGAAGCAAAGACCTGGAGCAGGTGAAGAGAGGGGAGGAAGGTGGGACATGGGAGCAAGGGGCAAGTCTTGCTTTTCTTCCTGTGGGAAGAATAAGAACTGCTTTTCTATAGGCACAATTCTAATCTTAGGGAGTTGATTATATCAGGTTTTCTTGAAATGATTTAGTCTGATATCTGCTTCAATACACTCCATTTCAATGGTTCTTTTATGCCCAAAGTGTAGTAAATTGGAGCTATTATTAGGGGCATCTGAGGCAGATCTGACCAACTGTCATTGGGAATAATCTCCAATATGAACAATAATAAAGCATGTCTTCCTATGGAGTAACAATATGTGGCTGAGAAGAGAAATACTTGGACAGGTGCAGTAATCGGAAGGGCAACACCTTGATGATCTTCTTAATCCCAAGAGGCATAAAAATGCTGCTAAAATTATACACTAGCATTTAGCCCTAAAATTGGAGCTAATGAAAGGACCAATAACTGTGTACCAAACAGTAGAATGTTTGGCAAAACAGGTTTTTATGAAATGTGCTATAATAGAACCCAGGAAACAGATTGGCAAAGCCTAAGAAGCAGACTGGATATTATGTTCCGATAAAACTATTAATGCAACAGAGCTTATAGAGATGGTTGTTCTACTTAGTAGAAATGTCATAAAAATCTATACAGGAAATGTGAGCATGTATTTGGTTCTTGTGGAGGAATGAAAAGAAACGTGGCCAGTGAGGGTCATTCCAGGGCTCTTGCTGGCACCTGACGAAGGCCTTATGATGACTGCTGAGGGGAGGGGGTCCTCTCAGAATATGGAGTTGCAAGATGGTTTTCCTGGATGTCATCACAGGGGGGACATTTCTCCCCAGACAGTAGATGATTATGTTCTTGTTGGATTAGAGCCCATATTAATTAATCTAGACAAGAAAAATAATGCTTTGTCCTCACACTGCGCTTTTTTTTTTTTTTTTTAAACTTTAAAAGTACTTCGCTGCATTGGTTGCATCTTTTTCTGACTACTTTGTGAAGTAGGGCAGGCATCCTTATTATGATTTTCCAGATGAGGAAACTGAAATCCTGAAAAATTGGTTTCAGATCACCGGGGTGGTTAGAGACCGAAGGGACCAGCGCCAGTGATTCTCAGCCCTCCCTCCGCCCTGCTCTTTGGCTGGCAGGGAATTCACACGCTGCTCTTTGGCTGGCAGGGAATTCACACGCTGTGGGAGTGCCGCCACTGTCCGGGCCGTTCAGGCTTAGACCGCGGGGCGTGGCGGGGGGCGGGGGGAGCTGGTCCTGCTGCCCGCCCACCGGCCCGGCGTCTGCTCAGGGGCCGGGGTACCTGCGGTGCCGTTGTAGCCCCCTAGGCGCAGCTTGTACAGATTTCTGCCGTCCTCCACCGAGAACTTGTCGTAGTAGGCGAAGGCCGCCTCCTGGCCGTCCCGCATGTCCACGCGCAGCTCGTAGCGGCCCTGGGATGTGATCCTGTGTATGTTGTCCAGCCCTGTGGAGAAGAGCAGAGAATGCTGGGGGCCTGGTCCCAGCGGCTTTGGAAATGGGAGTGAAATGGGACTGTGGCCTCACAGTGGATGTTACAGAGGGGGAGGGGGATCCAGATTGCTTTTGCCCTCAGCCCTTCTCAGGTCATTTATCTGACAGACCTTGCCAGACTCAGAAACTCCTCCTGCAAAAAGACAAACCCTGGTCTGCTGATGGGTCCCCCCCGTCACCCCATGTCAGCTCAGGGGTCCTAACATCCAGTCTTGACTCAGTAGCACACAAACCTTAAGCCTCGGGATTCCTGGCCCTGTCCCCTACCACCTTCCACTCCAAACCATGGTGTTGGGTGAAAATGACAAGACGTATTACATGGGCGTGAATTCTTTGGCTTGAGTGATAGGAAGCCAGAGGTAGAAATGCTGATAGAAGAGTTCAGGACAGGTGCTAGGGGCCTAGGAGAGCCAGATATCCTACCATCGCCTAGTAGCCTGCAAAAGAGATTCTGTTCACCTTATATTACACTGCCTTGCCCTTTCTCAGCTTCCAGCCCTCCTGGGGCTCCCATAGCCAGGTGAGGGGATATTGCCATTTGCCCCCTGACTCCAGTTCCTTTCTGTCTAATCTACCTGCTACAGTTTGCTTTGCCCCCTCTGCACTGGTCTTCTGGGGGTTATTTTCACCCATCTGCTTCTCTTTGGGCTCTAAGCTTCCCGGATCTTGGTCTAATAGATTCTCGTAAGGTGCAAACCTCTGTGAGCCCACATTCTCCTTGGCGATGTTTTCTCGTATATATTCCCTTGTCCGTTTGCCCTGGCTGGCTGGACTCTGGGACTTTCTGATTTTGACCTACCTGTCCAGACTTTGAACCACTCACCTTGCATTGCTGATGATCTCTAAGTCCTCCTGATTTCTATCTGCCTACTGAACCGAGGTCCTTTTGCTTTGCTGTCATAGCTGATATCTATCGGAGTATACCATGATGAGAATAAAAGAATTGCAGTGATGGAAGGGAATTTAGAGATTACTTAGGCTAATCTCTTTGTGGAAAAAGAGGTTGAAATCTACACAGGTGCTATTATTGGCTGAGGGCCACCTGGATCTTTCTGCTTCCCTATCCTGTTTGAGATTTAAAGCTTCATTTTGATTATAAGTTGAGGGCTGTTTGCTGTTCGCTGGGTTGCTGACCCACAACCTACCCTAGACTTGTGCTTGTGTGGATATAGTGGATCCTGGGGGTACCTGCCCGGATGCCCTTAGTAGATGGTGGACATGTCCCCCAGCTGCTGGATGTGTTGGCTGCTAACAGCTCACAGCTGCCTTCTTCTTGGATAATTGCCTTTGACCAAACAGGAGTCACTTCCCCTTAGTAGCTACATTCTCCCTCCCCCGTACCTTGAAGCAGACCTACATTAATGCCTGATGTAGGGGGTATGAAAGGCCAGACCCCTTGCCCTAGTGGGGACCAACTCGGAGGAGCAATTAATGATCCAGACCTTTCCTGAGGATTAGACTGAAGATCATCTCTCACCAAAATCACATTTTTGCATATTTTCCTCTGCTCTGTCTTGTTTCCTCTATTCCCCTACTCCTGAGAGCACTCCCCTAATAAATCCCTTGAACTCTGGTTCTGCTTCTGGGGAACCCAACTTGGGATATAAACCATGGGTCATAGTTACCCCTAACCTGAGTATTGCTACCAAACTATAGATCACCAGGCCATGCCTCTATTCAAGAGCCCTCACTGGCTCCCTATTACCTATGGCATTATGTCAGGACTTCTCTTCCTGGCTTTAGATACCATAATGTGCCTTCATTCAACCCACCTAACCTCATTTTCTTCTTTCCCTGTCTTGCACCTTTCCTCTGGTTGGATGGTTTCTTTACTATCCCATTTGCACATGTCAGAAGAATCCCTGCCTTCTCTCTTTTCTTGTCCTTTCCCTCCTGCATTCCTCTTACTCATTGACCGCCCAGAGCCTCCTCCACAAAGCTGACCCCTCCCCTCTCTGAGTATCTGTGCCTTCTCATCGGGAGTTCATCGGTTAGTACAGTGTTTCTCAGTGTGGGATGGCATCTCTCATGATAGAAGAAATACTTTGGGAATAAGGACTAAAATGTACTTAAACATAGAGGGAGAAAGGTATTTCCAAATTCTTTTTCTTTCTTAATAGTTTAAGGAGAAACCTTAACTCGGATCCTAACCTTGACTTTCAGTCTCAGTTTGGTTCTAGTACTTTGTGGTGAAACACCCAATACTTACTAACCTTCATTTGTACCACCGCCGGCAACGTCAGGCTTGGAGCCCCTGTATTTAACTGTCATTTAATAATATTAATATTGTTTTCCTTGTATGAGTTTTTAAGGCTCCCTTTTGTTTCGGCACATGATAACTAGCTTTCTATGAAGTTTCTTTCACAAAACAGTCGATTTAATTAAATAAAGCAAGTGATATAGAGAACATTTAAGTGCAGGACAGTTCAGCCACTTCACAGATAATGTAAAAATCATGGAATCGGAGCACAGCTGCTGAGGTACGGGGAACACGAGCCCTGTCTGCCAGGTGCCCGATTTGTGTGCATTGTACTTGTCCCTCAAGCTGTGTGCAAACTCCTGGAAGGTAAAAATACTTCCTATTCACCTGATTTCTCTCTCAATGTTCTTCTCGTGTAGCTTTATTACTTACATCAGCCAACACAGATCTGGGCATCCCATAGATACTCGATAAATTCTTATCATTGACGAACTGATCGGTGCCTACACTTTAAGTACCTACCATCTCAGACACTGTAAGAGGCAATGGGATGAAAACATGCCCAAGATGTGGTCCCAGTCCTGAAAGAAGTTTCCGTAGCATAGTCAAAAGAGACAGAAAGAAAAACCGGACACTGCTTTGGGCCCACAAAAGAGGGAGTGGCCAACCCTCCCATAGGCAAAGGGTGAGAAAATTGGGCAGGACAGGTTCCTCGAAGGAAGAGGAGTTTAGTTGGGTCTCTGAATATACACAGATGGGCACCAAGGTGTCCAGAGGAGGGGGATGGTGGGCTGGGAGAACATTCCTTGCAGAGGAAGCTGCAGTGATTCTGGAGGTTTGGAGTTTGGTGTTGGTGTGTGTATGGGGGTGGGGGTGAGAGGCGTGGGGTACTCAGTGGTGGGAGCAGCCTCCAGGGCTAGATTAGAAAGAGCCTTGTACCTCAACTAAGGGGTTTGGTTTTTACCTGGTGGTGATGAGGAGTCACTGAAAGGGTTTACAAATGAGGTTAACCACAGCTCAGATTTTGGGTGTAAGGAAGATGGCCATGTGGACAATGGAGACGTCCCGGAGGCAGGGAGGTCAGGTTGGGAGCTGTCGTGTGGCCTCCAGGAGAAAGACAGTGAGGCCTGGATGCCGTAGTGACCAAGATATAGAGAGGAGACCACAAATACGGAACCCGGTTATGCGCCTGTCCCCCTGCCTCCCTGTACATATCACTATGAAAATCTAACCCAGAGGGAGACGCAGGTAATCAATTTACTGCTTTCTGGGGTTGGCACCACTGCCACCTGCCTGGATGGGGTGTGTATTCACCTTCTCACACCAGCTCCATTCTCAATCTGCACCTCCCGCTTGGGTCAGACCTCTAGGAGATGGCAGGACACCTCCGAGGCCGTTTTCATTTTTCTCTTCCCTTGCCAAGTCAGGTAATAAGATTCCCCCGGGGAGCTGGGGCAGGGCGACTGCCTCCTCTCTCTCTCCTGACCTGTAGGCTGGCCGGTGGGTGCCTGGCTTCTGAGAGGTGACCAGCCAGCTGGCTGTGTCCTGCGCCCCCTCCCCCACCAGGCAGCTCACTTCCTTTGTAGTTGCCTCATGTCAAGACCCATCAGCATAAGAGACTATTAATGAGGATGGGAAGAGACAGAGCAAAGAGGAAAACACCACAATAAGATAAAAACAGATCAATAGTGGAGCCAAACAGAGCAAGAGGTACTGAAAGCAATTCACGAGCTGTCGACTTCCCAACAGACATGGCATTTCTGATCATCCCAGATGGACACAGAAAGGAGGGAGAGGGACAAAAAGCCAGAGCAGGGATCCCAGGGAAAGCACAAAGGAGGATTACCCAGCCAAAACTCATCCTCCAGGTTCCCGAAGCCGACACGGTACTCAGCCCACTTCCGGAAAAAATCCGTTTGGCCGTTCTGCCGTCTCTGGAACACCTGTTGGGGAGACAAGGGGGAGAAACAAAGTGATGCTGAAGAAAATAAACCCTCATGAGTAAAATCGCTGTAACTGAGTTTTCTATCTGCCATGACAAAGATGCTCGGATAAGGAACATTGCAGTACAGAGCTCGGTCTTCACACAGCCGTTTTCGTAAGAGATTCTCAGAGCTCTTCTCTTCAAGTGCAGAGGCCCCTGATGAATAGGCCAGGGTGTGATGTTGACACTAATTTGCACCTCTGCAAAGGATTCAGGATCCATCTCAAGCCCCCAACTAGTCAAGGGGAAATAGGCTTGGCTCTCAAATTAATCTTTTTGCAGGACAGAGTGCAGTAGAAAGCATTTCTCACCAAAAGAACAGGACCATCTTCAAATCAGCTAGTAACTGTCATCATCCTATTGCAGGCAAAGCAACTACATATCACTCACTTTCTGAGCTGTTTAAGTGCTAATTTCATTTAACCTCCAATGCATCAGCCTCAGCTTCAATTTCCAATTATACTTTAAGAAGGAGGCACAAATATGTCAGAAACATAAAAGAAAATGTCTCCCAAGAGTAGCTTATGAGCACAGCCACCATTTAACTCAATTAAAAAAATCTATCCATTTTGCACCAAGAAATAGCCAGTGCTGTGTGTTAGCAGTGCTGGAGGGGAACCACAGGAGGGCAGAGGGGCTGCATGTATGCGGGACTCAGCTAATGCTGGGCTGCTTTAGGGTCAGGCTGCAGGAACTCTCCTGTACACCTAGTGGGCTGCACTGCTAAGCGGGGCCATTTGTGAGGCTGTCCTTTCCCTTCTCTGGGTGTTGCCCTCTTAGCTGTGGAAGGAGGGTGTCTTTCTTTTCCTGACCACTGGTGCATTTGGAAGGCTGTGGGAGCTCTGGGGAGGAACCGGGGAGGCCAGGGAAGATGGGGACAGGGGTGGGCTTGGTAGCTAGAGATGGCTATTCATTCTCTGCCCCTCATCTGCTCCCCCATATGCAGTCATCCCATAGACCTCTCCATTGAGGCTCACCTCTTCCTGTAGAGGACCCTCCTCCTACAGAGGATCCACCCCCTCTGCTCCTTTATTTATAGCTGCAGCCTTCAGCAGGCAAGAGCCCTGGGCTTATCAGAGCCCCTCCTCCCTTTCCCTGGCACCCTCCTGCATTAACTATTCTTGCAGAAGGAACAGTATTCCTGGGGTCCCTTCAATGGGCCAGGCCACTGCTGCCTCCATATGCTTAATCCTTCCAGTGCTTGGCCAAACCTATGACTGCACTGCTGAGCAAGGGCCCAGAGGCAAGGAAGAGCCTCAACATGGACAGGTGGGGGATAGAGGAAGACTGGCCAGAGGGAGGTGAAATTTGGATCCATAGATGCCAAGCCAGATGTACTAGACACTGAGGATGTTTGTGTGTATGGGGAACAGCCACAGGTACTTACAATCCAGCCACCCCCGTCGGTGGTCATGTCGCAGTACACCTGTAACTTCCGGCTTAGCTCTCCATTGAGGAAGATGGTATACACCCCACTCAGAGTGTCTCCGTTCATCAAATGCTGGGCACAGTCTTGAGGATGAGGAAACACCCGGCCCCCTGCATAGGAAAAGAGGCAATTTCCAGAAAGGATCCTTTCTCCTACAATGTGTAACGACCCCTTGGATTGGAGAAGGTTGTAGAGGGCCTTGTGGGACTTCATCAAGAGCAGGAAGAAATCTTTACTGGATCTCAAGCAGTGTGTGGGAACCCCACATCATCCTGCATTCCCCCTCTCTAACTGATGTTGGATTTATCAAACAATATACAGTTTTAAGTTATCTGAGGACCAAAGATCTGGGTTCACAGTCTGGCTCCTTCTCTTACCTATTTGTTTGGCTTTAGACAAAAAAAAAAAAGCGTGTTGATGCAGTTAGTGGGGTTACTCAGGTGATGATTACAGATGCATGGGCCACAATAGATCACTGTGGGGCCCACCTTTCTTTTTTTTTTCTTTTTTTTCTTCTAAGATGTTATTTATTTATTTTAGAGAGGGAGAGAGCATGTGCACATGAGCAGGGGGAGGGGCACAGGGAGGGGGAGAGAGAATCTTAAGCAGACTTCATACTGAGCATGGAGCCTGACACAGGCTCGATCTCATGACCCCGAGATCATGACCTGAACCAAAATCAAGAGTTGGATGCTTAACTGACTGAGCCACCCAGGCGCCCCAGTAGGGCCCACCTTTCAAAGAGATGACAGGCATTAAGCAAAACCTTCCGTCATCCTCAACAGCAGCAGGAAGGAATGCCTAAACAAGGTCAGAGTTAGCAAGAAGATGGATCTCTACTCCTTGCAAAAAATAATCTCCTGATTGGACTAAACAATCAAATGGCCAGGTTTTACAGTTCAGTTTAAGTTTAAGGAAAGGGCAGGGGAAATAAATTGCTGCTCATCTTTCAGAGAGAACAGCCCAATTTGTGGAACAATATCTAATTAGCTAAAAGAGAAGCTTAAATCATGTATCTTGAAGAGCTTAGCTTCGGGGCAAATTTTAATGCTTAGCAGGCAAGCCAAGAAGCACAGATTCCACCGGAGGAGATTTCTGGACGGCAGGAGTGGAAAGAGCAAGTAAAAGGGAGAGCTTGCTATGTAAGGAAAAGTGGTTTGGGTGCTCTGTACATAAAATGATGCTCAGGGTCAATGAAACGTGGTTGATGCGGTTTTGCATCCTTGAACTGTAGCAGTTAGGAAGGGGGGCAGGTAGGGCAATCACTACAGTGACCCCTAGTGGCATCACCAGCGCACTACAGGTGTGCCAGAGGGCTGCTTGGAGTTCAGCTGTGGCGGAGGGAAATCAGAGCAAGTGGACAGCATAATGCCACACAGGGAAGGCGATGGAACATTCTCACTGAACGCCCTAGTCATCTAAGGATCCTGTCACAGATCATCTGTGAAGCATCCTGTGTTAGGAAGAGGTTGTCGGGGTTCAGTAGGTCTGTTAACTCCTAGCACAGGGACTGTCCAGCTTGCTGCCATACCATGGTCAAAGTTCGCTCCCATGTGACGTAGTTTAGAACAAGGGCACTGCCTACTTCAGGCATGGTTGCACCATGGAGTAATAAGACATTTCTATAGAACTTGTACTTGACAAGGTGTGTTTTATTTCTACTTAATTCTTGCAAGAAACTTTGAGAGAAAGGCAGATTGTTATAAATCAGACAGATTGTTATTTGGCAGACAAGGAAACTGCACTCAGCAAGATTTCACAACTTTCACAGGTCATTTGAACTCAAGGTTTGAGACCCCAAGTCAAGTGCTCCCTGAACTTGACTAAACAACGAATGTAACATGTATACAGTTTACAGGAGTTACATCTATCCATACAGCAAAGGATTAATTGATGTCTGTATTTATGTTATAAGCATATAAAACCCCAAAGGTTAAAGTTACCTCAAAAAGTTCTATGTTCAAATTAAACATCTTTATCCTCCAAACTGATTTTCTGAAATAGCTGCAGGAAAGCTCTAAACTTTCATCTGCAGCATGTCCTAGAACCTGACAGAGTTCTTGATCCCACGTATTCCTAGAGGTTACAATTACGTGTCAGGGGACAGGGGCAAGTGAGCTCTTTCCCCTCTCCCTGTTACTTTGGGAGCAAATGATTATGTCCTGGCTCCCAGGCCTTTCTCCACCTGGTCTCTGCAGCAACCCGCTTGACTGCCTTCCTTTCTCCACTCTTCTCTCATTGCCTGACTTTCTCATTTTATGAGATCAGCACAAAATGTTGGGCTTCAGCTCACTCCTACCTTATGCACTAAATAGTCTTTTTCTTAATCAATTTAGCTCCTTAAAGGGGCCAGAACTCCCATTTTTTCCCCTGTATCCAATATGTTCCCAGCAGAACATCTTCCTCTAAACCTAAAATGACAACCTCATATAAATACACCTATAAAACCAAGCCAAACTTCAGAATAGGTAAGTAAATGATGTTTTACTTTCTTCACCTTGATGATGTTGATTATTTAAGTTATTGATACTTTAAAAAGGTTCAAACACATTAGTTACCTTGAAGGTAGACCTACCAAAAACAAATACAGTAATTGAGATGGCTTTCCCTGGAGAAGTTTTTACATATCTGAAAGAATGTCATATAAAAAAGTGTTTTTTTTTAGTCGTGTTTTTTAAAGTCAGAAAAATGGGAATAAAATCAACTTAAGAAAAAAGTGGATTTAAGTGGTGTCAAAAGTTTGGATGAGATGAAGCTTCCAGACTGTACCCTTGAGAGAAGAAGGGCTGTGTTTTTGTCCTTCTGGGCCCCCACACTGGGCTGGTTGGTGGAGGGGCTCACCAAATGTGTTCAGGGCTGACGCATAGTTGCTGGGTACACTTGTCTTACCTTTGACAAATTGCAAAGCCACCTGGTTGTTTCTAGATTTGATTTAGTCTGTGGCATTAACGGAAAGTCAGTCAACAAGCATTTTGCCTGCGTAGAATATCAGGAGCAGTGACTGGGATTTTTACATCCTGGGCACTTGGAGAAGACACATCTACCATGAAACCACTCCTTTCAACCCCTCTCTGGCCCTCAGTATTGCCAGAGTTTTGCCTCACACCACAAGTCCTTGATCAAATCATTACTCCTTTTCATCAGATGAGAGGAGGCAGAGGCTCACTATTCCCAAATGGGGACTTTATTAAAATTCAAATTCCTGGGTTCTGCGGCAAATGAACAGAGTCAGAATGTTGGGGGCTGGCAGGGGATCAGTGTCTTACCAGATCTCCTCGATGAGTCTGAAGAGCAGCTGGATTGGAACTCCACTCTTTCTCTGGTACATTTTCCTCTTCTCAAAGAGGCCAAGAGGTGGAATTTTGTAAGAGCTAGAGTATGCCCCTGAGGGGCCTGGTAGTCTGCTTTCTCTGCCTAGGTCCTATGCTCTAGTGACTAGACCGAATATCTCGGTCTCTCTGTCTCTCCCTCCCTCTCCTCTTTCCTTCTCTTCTATCCCTTTTTCCCTTTCCTTTCCTGTCTTTCTTTAAGATTGATTTATTTATGAGAAAGAGAAAGAGAGAGAGAGAGAGAGACTGTGAGTGAGCATGGGGGAGTGGAAGAGGGAGAGGAGAGAGAGAATCTCAAGCAGACTCCTGAGAACAAAGCCTGACATGGCGCTTGATCTCATGACTCTGAGATCATGACTGGAGCCGAAATCAAGAGTCAGACACTTAACTACCTGAACAACCCATGTGCCCCCCCAAGTAGGTATGTCTTGAGTGGGCTGGCCCCAAGATTTAGACAGGGTGACGGGAAAGAGAGGGAATAAGAGATTCTATTTATTCTTGAGTTTAAACCTTATGGTCTAGTTTTCCCATTAAGTTCTGCTTTGAGAGTTGTTAGACCTAACTAATAATAAAGAATGCACTGATTCTCACTCTGCTATGTTCCTTGCATGTATACTGTGATTTCATACATTCTTAAGAGGTTGTCGGGACAGATTTCAGGCATCCCTAGCTCTCTGGATGTCACATCATCTAATATCATCAGAAACTCACCTTTCACCCTAACATAATTCTTCCCAAGGCAGAAATTTTAGGACCAAGAGCAAAACTGGAAGGTTTTTATTTCCTTTCATACAATAACTGGAGCCTGGCCTGACAAAGAGGCTTTTTCTTTTCTTTTCTTTTCTTTTCTCTTCTTTTTTTTTTATAAAGCACAAGCTGTGGTGTTTACCAAGTTAAGAGGAAAGCAATGCCAAGTGATCGGTACACTGAAATGTCTCATGGTTAAGTGTTTCTAGATGAAATCGTGAGATCAACAGCACTGGGGCACTCACCGGAAGAATTGCTCAGAAATTGGTTTGTGTTAGGCATCCGAAGGCTGAGTGCTGAGTGGGGTGAAGTGAGCTACGTGACACACAGCACAATCCGATGACCCCCAGCTGGCTGGGAGTGAAGGAAGAGACTTTTCTGTCCCTGCCCTGTTCCTTACTTGTTTTGTATTCTTGGATGCAGTCTTTAAAATGGTCAGAGTTGATAGCTCTGGAGAGCATTGGCTTCCTGCCCATTCTTATGGCCTTAGCATCAGGACCAAAGCCATGATGCCAATGTTTCCCTCTGAGGACAACCTTAGCAGATCTCCGTGTAACTACACAGCAAAGTGTGCTGCTCCACAGAAGTGCAGGTGACTGCCTTTTTCACCAGTGCTTAGACTGTTCTTCCCATAAGTGGGTTTCTGGTTGGCAGGTTTGTGGAGGGCAGTCTGAGGTCATGGACAGGGCAAAGTTATTTGTTCAGCCCACATGGGCTGTGAAAGCCTACCACTTTAGCCTCTTTAATAGCATCTTTTAATTAATTTACCTGTTTATTCTTTTATGTATTTGTTCAACAAACATATGGGGGGCATCGTTGGGTTCTGAAACTGGGCTAAGAGATAGGAATATAAAAAATAAAAGGATACAGTCCTATCTTTCATTTTGCTCACACTCTTGTGGGAGAAACAGACAATTATAACCCCAAGTTCTAAGTGCTCTGGGAAAGAGATAAACAGAGGGAGCTGTCAAAACGTGGAGGTGGGTATGTAGTGAAGTTTGGGGCTGGTGAGGGTAGGGCAAACGGTGGAGCTT